AAAAAAAAAAAAAAAAAAAAAAAAACCAACAAAAAACTGATCTTTAGCAGGATGTGGTGGCTCACACCTGTAGTCCCCACTGTTTAGGAGTTTGAGGCAGGAGGATCACTTGAGTCCAGGAGGCTCAGTGAGGCTGCAGTAAGCTGTGATCACAGCTGTGAATAACCACTGCACTCCACCCTGGGTAATAGGTGAGACCCTGTCTCTTAAGATAAAATAAAAAGGCCAGGCACAGTGGCTGACACCTGTAATCGCAGCACTTTGGGAGGCCGAGGTGGGTGGATCACCAGGTCAGGAGTTCAAGACCAGCCTGGCCAAGATGGTAAAACCCCGTCTCTGCTAAAAATACAAAAATTAGCCGGGTATGGTGGTGCGTGCCTGTAGTCCCAGCTACTTGGGAGGCTGAGGCAAAGAATTGCTTGAACCCAGGAGGCGGAGGTTGCAGTGAGCCCGGATCGTACCACTGCACTCCATCCTGGACCAGAGTGAGATTCTATCTCAAATAAAATAAAAATAAAATAAATCAATCAATCTTTGCAGGGAGAACAGGGGAGACCATTCCTCCCTTAGGTGCATCTCCTGGATGCCTACAGGCCCAACCACTCCCTGGCCCTTCATAGTCTCCTCCTGGGCTCAGATGTGAGGACAGTGCAGCCTCAGCCAGGAGTCCTTCCGATTCCTTGTTCACAGACTCCCTTTGGAATATGGTCTGGGTCCATTCAGTCATTTGGAGTGCTTTTCCTAAGTCATTTGACTTCCCGGAATATGTTATCTCTGATTTTTTTATCTCTGGAAATTGTTGGGTCTCTGTGGTCCCAGGATGCTGGAGGTGGAGATTCCTTGGGTTTCTTTCATTGCACTTGCTCATTCTGGCCCCTTTGGGGAGGCTGGCAGCTGTGTGAACCCAGGTGCTCTCTGAGGCCCTTCCCCAGTAAACAAGTGTATCCAGTCTGAGTGAGACTCTTGAGGGCACTGTTACACCGCTGTCATTCCACATCCCCTCTTGTACGTTCTCCAAACACAGGTCCCCAGGGTTGGACAGGCCACCCTCACATTGGCTCCAGGGACATGGGGCCAGTCCTTCCCCCATGCTGTATGTGTGACCTTGGCCACGTTCCCTAACCTTTCTGAGTCTATTCCCTGACCTCTCTTGTAAAGTAAAGGCATAAACTGCTTGTTTTGAAGATGAAATAATCTAATAATGTCAAGTAAATGATAGCTTTGCAGTAATCTTTCCTGGCCTCCACTTCACTGCTTTGAGACCCTTTTCTGTAGTTATTCCCAGTAAGCCGTTACTCAGATGTCCTGTTGTTTAATAAAGCTGTCCCTGCAGCAGTTCTGCTATTACATAGACTCAGACTTAAAATAGTGGGCTTGATGTGACGTATTTGTAATATTATTTATGTGCAGCCTCTTGTAATTACATTATACACCTTTATTGCCTAGTTGAAATAGTGACATGAAAGGATGCCATTTATGTTATTGGGAGATTATTCAATGGGTATTTTTTCTCACTCTTCCCTTTCAGTACCATTGAAGGACAGGAAACTTCTGGAGGTCAAACTAGGAGAGCTGCCAAGCTGGATCTTGATGCGGGACTTCAGCCCTAGTGGCATTTTCGGAGCATTTCGAAGAGGTCAGAGTCTTGTGATGTGTGTAAACGAAAGCAAATCTCTGAGTCTTAAGGTCTCTTTTTGCCATGAATTAATCTGGACGATGAAGGCCTTGTTGTCTGAGAGCAGTAAGTTATGTAGACGAGGGGAGGGGTGGCTAGGCCTTGGACCTCCATGGTTGACTGGGCCTTTCAAAGGCTGGTTCTGAGATACTGCAGCCAAGAAAATGTTTTCTGTTGCTGGAATCAGTACGTCTGCCTCTGTCCTAAAAGAAATTCTAAAACTTCTTAAAGAGGAAAAATGAGTTGGAACCATAGTGAGCATTAGTCTATAGTATGATGCTCGCCTCCCTGCCAGAATTTCCAGGACAAATATTTGAAATGGCCTGTCTTGGCCAGGTGCAGTGACTCATGCCTGTCATCCCAACATTTCAGGAGGCTGAGGGGGGAGGATCGCTTGAGCTGAGTTTGATATAGAGAGACCCCTATCTCTATAAAAAACACAAAAGAAAAATTAGCCGGGTGTGGTGGTATATGCCTGTAGTCCCAGCTACTCAGGAGGTTACAAGATAAAGGCCAAAGGAGAGAGGAGGGATCCAGGTGGGCCTTGTTCAGGAGCTGGTATGTGCTTATAGTTCAGGCAATGGTGATCAGAGACCCTACTGGCATTGGTGCTTTTCGCCTTTATCAGCAAAAATGCAGGGCGAGGGGCTTAAACAGCCAGAGCATGACAGGGTCCCTGAACGCTAGCTAGACTCAACTGTGCACTCCATTTCACTCAGTTGTGAGGCCCAGCAGGGCAGTGAGCGCCTCTTGCATTTGCAGGTTACTACCGGTACTATAACAAATATATCAACGTGAAGAAGGGGAGCATCGCGGGGCTTACCATGGTGCTGGCATGCTACGTGGTCTTCAACTACACTGTTTCCTACAAGGAGCTCAGTGAGTGTCTCTGGGGCGTCTTGCCTTCAGTTTACCATGAGAGGGTGGTGGTGACTCATTTCATGAGATACAGCAGCTCACCTTCTTCTGAGGCTGAGGGACCTTTACTAAATTCCTTACTTATATTTCCACCTAAAAGAATTGGAGGGATGTAGCAGAGTACGGTATATGGGATAGTGTTTGAAGTGAGAAAATTGTGACAGAGAACACAGGAAAAACAAGATGAAGTCACGGTAAAGAAAATACTTAGAAGCATTCTTTAAAATACAGCAGGCTCTGTGAAAGTTTGGCTCGGTCTTCCTAGTAGCCAATGCAGAAAGAGAAATGAGTTGCGTGGTATAATCTAGCATCCCAGAAAACCATGGCTGTTCTGGCTTTGAGCCTCAAGAGGAGCTTGTCTGGTGGGAGACTGGTGGAAAGTATCAGTTGTGGCCTCTGACTAGGCTGTTTATGACACTGTACCCCCCCCCATCCCTATCTCACTCCTCTTCTACTGCACCGGGCTGTGCTGCCTCTGAAGGACGGGTTCTGTGGGGCTGTTTGTCTGAGAGGGTGTTCCCTCTGGAGAGAAAGCAGCTGGCCAGGTGGCAGGTTGGCTCCTGCAGTGTCTTTGTGCCCCCGGATCTACAGATTCTGCAGACACCCCGGCAGACAGGTCCTGGGTCATCTCTGAAGGGAATTCTAAGGCATGCTTTGGGTGATCTCAGCCTGTTGTTCTCGTCCCTGTCATCCTGTGCCTTCACTGTAACCTTTTAAGATGCTCACCATCTTGCCTTCCTGACTTCAGAGCACGAGCGGCGACGCAAGTACCACTGAAGAAGACGAGCTCAGCACTCCTCTCCTTAAGGAATAGTCTCGATTATTGCTGAATCCTTTCATATCCTAATGGAATTAACCTCCAAATAAAAGATGACTGGTATGTGTGCTGCATGCCTGCCTGCCATAGCCATTGTCTTATGCTCCAGGGGCTCCTGTGGCACAAGGTAGGAGAGATTGTCTTTACAGGGCGTTGACCCATGAAGGCCTTTGTGGACTCCCCAGACTACCACTCAGATCGTGTCCCAGTGCCCTAGGGGGCAGGGTGTCATCCATACTTTTCCCACATCAACAATGCTGAAGTCTGTCCTGTGGGTAGATGCATTGGTTGACTCTGGCCTTTAGTCGACTGGTGTAACAGTCGGCCCTTTATGGTATAACACAAAGTCCTGTGTTCCTAAGAATGCCAGACCCCACCCTGTCTTGTGGTTCTAGGCAGGGGATTTTTGGATGGCCCAAATGTCTTCTCATCCTGTGTTTCTGCATCACCCTGGGGCATCAAGGGCTACAGGGTGGTGACCCAGCACCGTGGACAACCTCAGGCAGTCCCGATGCACAGGTTGCAAGGAGTGTAGCCCTCGGCTGAGGCTTCTCTAGCAGGAGGCTTAGTGGGATGGGGGTGAGGGTCTATGGCGACTCCTCCTTTCTTCCCCTTCATCAGAACCTCATTGGGGATGGGATGCTGTGCCCCAGGAATAGGTGCCACCTGACATCTGAGCTGAGGTGGAGGACCTGCCTGCTGGCTCCACAGGCCAGTCTCCCAGACCTGACTAGCTGTCTGTACAAAGGCCTTCAGGCAGCAGCACTTCCTCTATGAGACTGACATTTGTTGGAAGGGACAAGAAAACCAGGCTGTGACTGCAGCTGGCATGAGAGGCTTGGCATGAGACTCTTAAGTAATGAGACATAGCTTAAAAAACAAGATTTAATCAATTTTTTTTTACACCTGCACCCTCCCCCATTTTAATCAATTTTTAAAAAATTGTTCTTGCAGTTGAACATGGACAGGCCCACTTGCCCAGCAGGTTGCAGGTGACAGTTTCACATTTTCAAGGCTCAGGGACAGGGCAGTCTCCTCCACATGCCACAGGTGTCTGACAATGTAGACACTTGACAGGCAGGAGGTAGGCACAGATGATTTGAAGGGGTTGTCTATTTAAAGGCCTGCAGCTCCAGCTCAAGGGACACCTTAAACACTGTCAGGCACATACCCGAACAGAAAAAGCAGCCCAAAGAGAACCTCAGACTTGAGAGCCCTGCATCCCTCAACCACTGCCACCTGGGACCAGGGCTAGCCTGAGGCAATGGGGGCACCTGAATTTGCCCTGAAGAGCTCCCTCGTTCAAATCACATTGATAGGCACAGCTTTAGGATTCAGCAGGGCAGGGAGGAAGCAGGCATGGGCTGGCCACAGCTTTGAATGACCTGCCAGCCCCCGGGGTCACCAAGAACTGGTGTTTAATGTGTGGAAAGACCATCGCCACACAGAACTACCCGGCACAAGCCCCTCCCCAGCAGCTTCCTCCCTCTGATGAAGGCAGGTTGTTTAGGGAGTCCCAGAATGGAGGCATCGATGTCTAGCCAAACATGATGTCGACTGCAGGGACCCAGCTGGGGCACATGTCCCTTTTTCAAAAAACAGTATGGCAAAATGATATGGAACTAACAGATGTGGCCCCTCCGAACGATGAACCCCACATGCCTGCGGGCCAGCTCAAGCCACAGTTGCGCCAAGAAGCGCGTGAAACAGTTAAATGCACACTCCCAACAGCAGGGGCCCCGGGCTGCTCAGAGCTGGCTCCAGCTGCTGTCACTGTCCACTGAGAAAGGCCAAGTGCCCTTTGGTGCATCTGTTGGCGTAGTGTCCTTTCTCGCCACACTGGGAACAGCAGGAAGCGGGGGGAAGAGGAGACACAGACAATAACACTGTTCAAATGCAGTTTTCAACTAACATATAACCCACAAAGTCCCGTTGGGACAGGACTCTGAAATTTTCAGTGGTACAGTTTCTTTCAAATTGGAGGGTGAGGAAGCTCAGCATGGAAAGTGCAGTGGTGCAGAAACTAGCCAGCAACTCGGCAAGTGCAAGGGAGAATGAGGCCACCAGAAGAGGGCCTGCTAGCACCCCGCCGGGAGCTCTTTCAGGCCCACACCTCTCCCGCATGGTTGCAGGGGCTGCCCAGGGAGGGACTCACAAGTGGGGGCGGGGCAGGACAAAGAGAAGCTGATGGCACCTGAGCACCACTTCATCTGGGGACCAAGCCCCTCTGCACCGTGGGCCAGCCACTTACCTCTGAGCCAAGGTCTGGGGTTCCCTGGCAGGAGACGGGAGGGAACAACGTGAGAAGTGTCCTAGCCTCCCCTCCCTTGGGGAGCCAGTGCCAGGGACAGAGGGTGGGCTGTCCCTGGCACTGGCTCCCCAAGGGAGGGGAGGCTAGGACACTTCCCTCGTGGCTGTGACACACCTGTCTAAGCTACCTTGGGGACAGGTTTTGATCACAGGATCAGAGAGAGGGAATGATGCTTAGACTTCGGTAAGGGGAGCCTGCAGAGCCACCTGACAAATCCAGCTCTGACCCTGCCTCATCCCAGTCCTGATTATCCAGGCCCTACTGTAGCTTCTCTTTACTCTTGTTACTCCTTAAACGGCAGCCTTGAGCACTGAACAGAAAGGTCGGGAGGCAGCTGGAGGCACTGACTCTGTGCTAACACCAGCCCCCTCAGTCCCTGCTGCCCCGAGGGGCTCTGCCCAATCAGCCAGCACTCTTGCCACCTCTATTCCCTGGCTCTGCAGTCCCTGTGTTTTCAACTTTGTCTGATCTGCAGGTGTGACTGTGTGTGGATAAGGGGCCAAGCAGCTGCTGTTAGGCCTTGGGCTAACATGATGGCCACAGGGGGGACCACATACCCTACTCACAGCATCTGGCACATCTACTGGGCCCCACAGCTGACCCTGGGGAATCCAGGACCCATATGAGGTGTCGCTGACATTAACCGGCTGAAAGGCTGTGGACAGAGGCATTAAGGCCCCAGCCCTACCTTTATAAGGCTCCAGGACTTAAGGGCACTTTCACAGAGGCGGCCCTGCTGAACAGGCTGGGAGGGCAGCAAGATGACAGCCAAGTCTGCTCTGCACACAGTCCCCCTTCCATGCTTTTTTTTTTTTTTTGGTTGAGACAAGAGTCTCACTCTGTTGCCCAGGCTGGAGTGCAGTGGTGCAGTCATAGCTCACTGCAGGCTTGACCTCCTGGGTCCAAGCAATCCTCCCACCTCAGCCTCCTCAGTAGCCGGGACTATGGGCACGTGCCACCATACCCAGCGTATTTTGTGATTTTTAATCTGGACTCATTCTTCAGAACTCCAGCTGTAGGAATTCTGTGTGCTTTGGGTTGAGAACATATTCCTCACAGAGTAACGGGGGTTGATCCTGCCATGTACCAAAGGCACACCAATCCTGGGGCGATTTTAGATTAGAAAACTCTCATTTGTAAATTTCCAGCCTTAACCAAGGATGTGAATACAGGCCAAGACTCACGTAAGGGCCCATGAGTAACGTCAAAACTATCAAGAGATTTCTCTTCCCTGGCTGAGTGCGGTGGCTCACACCTGTAATCCCAGCACTTTGGAAGGCTGAGGCAGGCAGATCACCTGAGGTCAGGAGTTCAAGACCAGCCTGGCCAACATGGTGTAACCTTGTCTGTACAAAAATATAAAAATTAGCTGGGCATGATGGCGGGTGCCTATAACCCAGCTACTCAGGAGGCTGAGGCAGGAGAATCACTTGAACCCGGGAGGCAGAGGTTGTAGTGAGCCAAGATCATGCCACTGCACTACGTAGCCTGGGTGACAAAAAAAACAGATTTCCCTCCCCTTCCCCCACTCCCCACAGAGCCAGGGGTGAACAGGACCATTTTCAAGGAGGTTTCTTTAAGCTCAGCCTTCCCAAGTGTCCCATTTTACGTACTGGGGGAGGGGACGGGGACAGGGTGCTATAACCCAGTGTCCCGTTCCCTTGGTGTGCCCTGCAGGATCTGAGGATGCCCCCAGGACAGCCAGCGGCACCAAGGCCTCTCCCTTCCTTGGATCAGTGTTTCTGTTTTGTTTCCAGCCTCTTGGGTGCTTCCCTCACCTGCCTGCAGGCCCCGTCCATTCATTCAGCAGGCGTTCTCACCATCCTTTACCTGGCCTCCGTGCAGTGTGGTGGGAAGTAGGACAGTCGCTAGCCCACCATAGTGGATGGTAACTAGACTATAACTTTATGCTTACAATCAGCAAAAATGAATGTTTTCATTTTTCTCATTTTGCCAAACATATGGGGAAGACCCCACCCCGTCCCTCAGCCCCAGGACTTACCTTATAACAGGTGACCTGCTCCAGTGGCCGGGGTCCCCGGTTGCCCGCACTGCTGTTTTGACTCTGCATGACCCCGATGACCTGCGGGGTTCTCTGCTGATTGGGAGAAGAGTTCTGACTCGTTAACTGGATCAAGGAGGACGACCTTTGTAATGGCGGATTGTTACTTTGCTGGAAAGAGTTATACAACACGGTTTTACTGTGGAAAACATGTGCACGCAGACTACCAATGGGGACAGGAAAAAAGAGGGCGGGACTTGTCCCGCATGAACGGCAGGAAGAAGGGCTTCCACGACGGCCCAGCTCAGGAAAGCGGGCGGCAGAGAAATATCTGGTGATGATGGCAGGAGCCACTGCCCGAAAAACACCATGCAGACACACAAAAACGAAAAATAAAATAGAAAACAAAACATCGAAGAGACAACAGGAGGTCTCTGGGGCAGTGGGACAAGAGCATGATCAGGCCTTACTTTGGTTTCTGAGGTTCTAGCTTCAGGTCAGGATGAACGCTTGGTTCAGCCAGATGTTTAGCAGCCTACACGGCGAGCAAGTCACAGAAAAACAGTTGGAGCCTGACACGCTGAGCTGCGTTCTCGGGCTGAGAGGACCCTCCTCTAGGGAGCCCCGCCAGGAGGAGGGCAGCGACTTCTGGGGTAGGGATTCCACAGCAGGGCCTCCTCCTCACTAGGTGGGATCCTGGCTCTGGCCCGTAAGTGCAGAACCCGAGCTAGGAAACCCCCAGGTTGGCACGGCTGCACCT